GTTTCGATCGATCTTGCTCGCTCGAAACAGGTGCCGAAGCTCCCTCTTGAAGAGGGATTTCTAACATGGCAGGAACGGGAGAAGAAAACACAGAGGAATGGTCTTAGAAAGAGGGATGTTGTGAGGACAATTATGGATGTATATTTCAGTTCGTGTTTTTTTTCTTTTTTTTCTTTTTAAGCTTTATTGTGATTTATTTGAGTTATTAGTTATTTTCACGGGCCAACTGATGTAAATTTTAAATGTCTGCATTTAAGAATATAATGAATGTAACAAGTTTACAAGATTGCGATTGATTATTGTGACTAATTTATAAGTAAATTCTACAACTTATTGCTAGTTACCAAATTTGATCTGATGGCAGTAATGATCACTAAACAATAATAACAACAGTTTGGTAAAATATAAAATACAAATGACTTTAATGAAAATATTTATTGCATTTGATAAGATAAAAGGTAATAATGGACACTGATACGACTATAATGATAATTATTTTCATCATAATTAATGTCATTGTTAATAAATTCTTTAAATGATCTTACTCATTATAAATATTTCATGATTCATTATTACTACTATCAATATTATATTTATTTTCGCATTCTGACGTCAGTTAACAGCATAAGCATTACTAATACTAAATTATTGTCATCATTACCATTAATAATAGTATTATCGTTATTATTATTATCATTATCATTATTATCATCATCTTTATTACTGTACTACGTTTAACTTTAGCAGCACAACTATTATTATAACTATTATAGTTAATGTTACAATTGTTATTATTATCATAACTATGATTAGTAATATTGTTATCATTATTACTATTATTATCATCAGTATTTGTACTGTTATTTATATAACTGTTTTGATCGTTATCATTGTTATTATTATCATTACTGCCATCATTATCATTACCATTGCTATTATTATTATTATTGTTATTATTGATATTATTATTATTATTATTATTATTATTATTATTATTATTATTATTATTATTATTATTATTATTATTATTATTATTAATGTTATATTATTATTATGATATTAATATTATTGTTATTATTATTATTATTATATTTATTAATATTATTATATTATTATTATTATTATTATATTATTATTATTATTATTAGTTATTATTATTATTTATATTTATCATCATTATAATTATTTTTATCTTTATCAATATTGCTAATATTATTTTTGTTATTATTGATATTATTATTATCATTATTACTTTTATCATCGTCATTATCATCATGTTTGTTATTATAATAATTTATATTATTAATATCGTTATTATTATCATTATTGTTATTATTAGTTATTATTACTATCATTATCATTATCATTATTTTCATTATCATTATTATTATTTCTGAGTAAAATTATTATGATCATCATTATCATTATTATTATAATAATGATTATGATTTTTAGTGACATATAATAATAATATTATTGTAATTGTTGTTGTTGTTATTATTATTATTATTATTATTATCATTATCATTATTATTATTATTATCATTATTATTATTGTTATTATTGTCCTTGTTACTATTATTGTTTGTATTATTATCATAATAAAAACAATAATTATTAGTTTTAACATGATTCTCAATGTTATTGACATCTGGTAAAATAATCATCATTACTTTACTTATTTAATTATATTATTATTATTATTATTATTATTATTATTATTATTATTATTATTATTATTATTATTATTATTATTATTATTATTATCATTTGTTATGTGTCATTATTATATCATTATTATTCATTATTATTATTATTGTTATTATTATTGTTATTATTAACTTGATCATTAACATTATTGTCATCATCATTATGATTATTGTTAGTTTTACTGTTGTTATTGTTATTATTATCATTTTTATTATCATTGTTATTATTATCATTAATATCGTTACCATCATCATTATTATTATTTTCATCATTACTATTAAGATTTTGATAATTACCATTATGTCTAATAAGATTTTAATTCTTATTACCCTTATCACGATCATTATTATCATTACTTTTGCTCTCTTATTACTCTCGTTATTAATGTTATCATGGTAATTAAATCTATCATTAGATTTTATCTAATAATATCTAATAGCATTTATATTTGGATGAATGCCATTCTAAATCTTAAATTATGATCACTATTACTATTAACAGTGTTTATCTTGACATTACTATTTTATTAGCATCATTGTCTATTGATGTTTTAACGTAAACTAACTATTTCTGTGCTAATACAGTGTTTTGTTATTGAACACATAATATGCATCTAGGTCTTTGATTAAAATGAATGATTTTTTTTTATCAAAGATATGGTACAATCAAACACAATATGTCAAAGAATAGAATGAGAAGGGTGTGAAGTCAAGTTAAGAAAAAAAAAAAAAAAGAAATTGCCGAATGTAACACGAATAACGGGAAATGACAATTTTGTTGATAACGTATGTTTTTGTATTTATATAAACTCTTTAATGATCTGTAAAAAAAAAAAAAAACTTTCGCATTTTCTCTCTTCTTTACATGACTACAGTAAATCATAAAATGGATATATTTTGAAACTTTAAGCATATTTTCATTATTCTTTCTTCATTGTACTATAAATTTTAAGACATTTGCTGAAAAATTTCCGCAATATCATTTGTCTTTTTTCATTCACAGATAAGCATAAGATGCACATATTTTTCACTTTTTATAATGATAAACCTAACTACATTTTCTTTTATGTTCATTCTTATTCTTTCTTTCTTCCATCAAGAGAAAATCAGACTATAGATAAATTCAGATTTTATATTTCATTTTCGAAATTATCTCTTATTTTTTCCTCGCCTTTCATTTGACATATTTCAAGAATATTTATTGAACTCTCTTTTGCTTAAGTATTCCCAAAATGCAAAACCTTTGACGTCATAAAATTAAACATGTCGGCAGCCCAATAACGTGTCGCAGAAAAGGTCAAATTCTTGCAGAGTCGCCAAAAGGTCACGACTTTGCTTTATGTTAAAGGAAGTGTGCAGGAGAGTTCCAGTTCAGTCGCGGTGTCACCAGTGTTCTCGACTTTGCTTGAACAGGAGAACACCGGGTGCGAAGGGCGTGAACATGCACGACCTTGGGAAATCCTGCAGGAGAACAATGTCTATTGAGCGTCGAGACAGAGGAAGGAAGGAAGAAAGGAAGGAGGGAGGGAAGAAGGACGCGGAGGAAGGGAAGGATCTTAAGGGGCTTGGAGGCTGTGTTGGAGGTGTGGCTGGCGAGATGGCTCATGGGTTTGAAAAAGAAAGAAAAAAAAAGTATTTATGTATATATGTGTACACACACACACAGACACAAACACACATATGCACATATATATATTATATATATATATATATATATATTATATATATATATATATATATATATATATATATAATATATATATTATATATATATATATATATATATATAATAATATATATATATATAATATATAATATATATATATATATATATATATATATATATATATATATATATATATATATATATATATATATATATATATATATATATATATATATATAATATATTATATATATATATATATATATATATATATATATGCATGTATGCATGTATGTATGGACACATATATAAACATGTGTATGTGAGCGTGTGACTGTGTGTGTGAGACTGTGTGTGTGTGTGACTGTGTGTTTGTGTATGACTATGTTTGTGCGTGTGTGATTGTGTGTGTGTATGTGCATTTTTATCTATATGCATTTCTGTATGTATCTGGAGCCAAGCTTTTTTTTAATAGCCCTATCCAGACATTTTATAGCCTCGAACACTCACGGGCGCACAGAAACACACAGACATACAGACAGACACGTGATATATCTCTTCCATTCTCTCTCTATAACATGCTCCGTCAAACAATTGACCATGTCTCTTTTTAATTATTTTCTCGTGCAAAATACACTAATTGGCAACCTGGCAATAATTCATTTGTGTTAAAAGAAAAAGGTAAAAATTAAAATTGAAACTTTAGTTGACCTATTTTTCAGGACTTTTACTACCCCCCCCCCCCAATCCCCGGATAGGCTCAAGCACATAATTTAATGAGTGCGAGGATTTACAGGTAATTATATTCGCAACCTCTTTGTCATTCCATATTCTATTAGAATTAAAGAGTGACTTCCGTAAAATAGAACTTTCATATAAACACCTGCCAAGCCGTACAGAATAATTTTGACGAATTTTTATTTAGTTTAATCCCATTTCTTACAGTGGTTATTATTGGCGTGACAGAATGTCGATTTTATTTTACTTTTAAATTGCCTCTTGCGTGCAAAGAACGGCCGGGGTTACCATCCACTGTCGGCGCGGGAATTGAACGCAGGTCATTTAGACTGCTGGGCGAATCCGCTACCGCTGCGCCATTAGCAATAATGAATAATATATAAATAAAGACCTAAAATACATTTCAAATTCTGTGCACAAAAATCAGAATTTTAAAAGGAATGTTTTCAATTTGATTACACCCACAGCAAATAAAAACAAATATGAATGAAATATGCAAAATTGTAATAAAATCTGCAGACATTGCTCGTGTATGTAACAAGTTCTGGTAAACATATTTTGCATATATTTACGTTTTCAGAACATTAACTCTTATAATCTAAGATTAACGTCCACAGTGATATGCATATTGCACGAATTTCAGTAAAAAACATGCAATGCTTTTACATTTCATGGATTTTATGTCTAAAGCTTAGTGATAAAACATTTCCATTACTCATTTATATTTGGCTATGATCAGGCACACACAAAAAAACATAAACTTTGTATAGATAGATGTAAAAATACAAAATTGTTGAGTAATTTAACAAATACTTCCTACCAAACAACAGTTAAAAATCACTCCGATGTGAGACATGGCCCGTTTGACAGGCTGGACATGTTAAGAA